AAAAATAATATATATATATATATATATATATATATATATATCATGCAACTTCCAGGAAGTAGGGGTCCTTCACAGAAATCATAGTGAAAAAGATTGTTCCAATGAAAGGTGCAAGGACCTCATATCACCATAAAAATATATTTCTCCGTTTGTACATTCATTGTCTTCCAATGGCCATCACTCTTTCCGCGAAAAAACCTTATCCCTTCTCTCTATATATCCCCTCCCCTCTTCTCCATCCTCCACCTCCCCTATTCACTTACCTTACCACACAAGTTATCACAAACACACCAACACCAAAGGTTTCTCTAATGGAGATCGACATCATGGTCGATTTCGAGGACTACTTCCCGTCGATGATGGTGAGACTCGGAGCGGAGGGGTTCATAGGCGAGCTCTGCAACGGGTTCCGGCTGCTCATGGACTGCGAGCGGGGGCTGATAACGTTCGAGAGCTTGAAGAGGAACAGCGTTATCGTGGGGTTGAATGACATGGGGGACGATGAGATCGTTTGCATGTTGAGCGAGGGGACTTGGATGGAGATGGGGCATTGGACCAGGTTGAATTTTGTATTCTCATGTTTAGGTTAAGCCCTGGGTTAATGGTGGATAATAGTATTAATAGCTCAAGGCAATGGATGGAAAAATGTGTATGATTATGGTGTTATCATACATACTTACCTATATGTGTATGTATGCATGTATGTATGAAACTATATGTACGATAATATTGTAAAACTAGGTTTCGTTGATCATTTATCTTATTTAATTGTTGGATAACCTTAAAATTAATTTTCCAAGGTTGGAGAATTAAGCATGTCCTTGGAGAATAAATAAATATGAAATAAATGATTAACATCTTCTTCTCTCTCACACACACAACAATCTCTATTTTGTTTTAAATTTGTGTTTTTATTATTTCTTATTATAAATTTGGAATTAAAAACTTTATATGTGCAGTGATTATTGTATTTATGGTTAATAATATTCACACCACAACAATCTCTATTTTGTTTTAAATTTGTGTTTTTTATTATTTCTTATTATAAATTTGGAATTAAAAACTTTATATGTGCAGTGATTTGTATTTATGGTTAATATATTATTATCACTTTGGGTAAACTACAACAGATCAGGTCATTTAATTGGGTTTTGATAAAAAAAACCCATCATTTTAAAGAAAAATCACAGACATGTTACTTAATTAAATATTACTACAATAGAATAGATCATTTTGTTGTTAATTATTAGATGAAAATAGCATAGTGATATAGCACGGTATAATAAAAGTTTTAGTCCTTAAAATTTATATAATTTATCAAATTGATTCTACTCCAAAATAATTCATAAATTTAATTCTACATATTTAAAAATTTAAAAATTTTAATGTTTTATACACTTTATGTCTAATGATGTTATTTTAATTTTTTAACTCTTTTAAATTATCCTTTTAGTCTGATGGTTTGAAGAGTTAGATAAATTAAGATAATATGAGATAAATCAGTTGAAGAATTTAATTTTTTTTTGACGATTTTATGGATGAACACATCTCCAATTTGGCAAAAAAAACAAAAAACAAAAGATAATTACACCACTTAATCTATATATGATATATCTGTATAATGCGATAAAATTAATATGTTAAAAATTTACAAAAAGAGCAAGATTAATATAAAATAAATCGCATACGAAAATAAAATTTAACGTGATTTGATTTATTTACCTTCACAGTTGAAAAAAACGAACATATTATCGAACATTCCGAACGTAAATGAAAATATATTCATGTTCATTCGTTTAATAAATAAACGAACATAAATGAACTTACCGCCGAATAGTTCACGAACGGTTCGCTGAACGTTCGGTTCATTTACAGGCCTAAGTAAGGTGCTTTTCTTTTAATTTATTTTTTAAATACACCACCTTATTGTAGGAAAAAATTAAATTAAATAAATAATCTCCAATTAGATAGTGATATATGTCATAATCTAATTAGAAATTAAATTTGTTTAATGGAATTAAATTATTACCAAATTGATAGAATGTATACATTAATGGCCAAATATGCAATTATACTAAGTTTTATTAATGCCACATCATATCCTCCGTTAAAAATTAACGGCAAGTGGTTTGATTGAAGAATTAAAATAGTTGAATAGTCTAATCAATTAACATCACTGATCAAAATAAAATTTGACAATAATTAAGTGATCACTCATAATTTACCTAAAATTTAAACTCAAACACTCAAAATCTCAAAACCTCAACTTTATCGATACAACCAAAATCTATATAAAGAAACAATAACTATAGTGAATTATTTCAAATTAAAATTCCAAATCCTTTATGAAACCATTATGCTTAGACTTCAAGTGAGAAATTTATTTAACCTAAACCGACAATATAAGTATATGATCGCCGGCTTCCAAGGCTGTAGTTATTGGAGCAATTAATAATTGCATCATTTAATTGATAAAATCCAAAATCTGACGGCTATTAATGTTCTCTGAATAAATTGCATGTACTATTTTGTCCCCTTTTATTAACATTCTGTGTATCTAATCAAATTAAGTGCTCACTTGAATATCCTTCCATTATAGGTTAATTAGATTAAATATGGTAAAGATTTTATTATAAGGTATTTTTTTAATTTATTATTTCTATTAATAACATCATAATTGAATTTTCTATCTCAATCGAAGATCTAACATCTCATTCGACATGAATAAATAAATAATAAAATTTTATTTCGTAAATAATAATTACACTATTTTAGATAGGACCATGAGTATTTGTCAGATATGATGGCTTTTTTTTTGGATAAGTAGAAATTTATTCATCCAAAAGAAGCAGCAAGCTGCTACAAATGACAATAAACAACCTAGATTAGTCCCCAAGCTAGGCTCAACCTCCTATTAACATCATCCATCCTATTCATATGACATCTATACAATTTAATTCTAACAGACTCTCTAATGCTATTTACAATCGTATCATCAGAACGAATCACACCACGAAAATGCCTGCGATTACGTTCTTCCCAAAGAAAATAAACAAAACCAGTCCACGCGAGCTTTAGAACATCCAGTGCATGGCATTATCCCAACAGATTAGCAACTGTAATTGGAGACCACAAGCCTGCAAAATGGCTTTCCATATCACCCTTGCAAAGGAACATTCCAAGAACAAATGGTTCCGAGATTCTGATTATCACCACACAAACCACAGACATTAATAGTGATGCCAAACCTTGCTAACCTGTCTTTGGTTGGCAATCTATCGAGGATCACCATCCAAGCAATAATAGAGAATTTTGGGATATGTGATGGGAATCAAATAAGCCTATGCCACCCAACCTTGTCCCTCCTATCACAGATACGATCCCAAATCCAAATAATTGTTTTTTATCTTTTTTTTTATTTATTACCACGATAGTAAAAAAGCCATCATCATTCGGATATGATGACTTTTTTACTATCGTGGTAATAAATAAAAAAAAGATAAAAACAATAACATGAAATATCAAAATAAGTCTTTATTTTTTAATTAAATCATTGCAAAGAAAATAAAAAGGAATGAAATTAAAAGCAGCCTTGGATCCCTTTATGTATGATTAAACTTCAAATCAAAAATTTATTACACCTCAAAGGACGAAACGTATATATGATAATCTCCGGCTTCCATGCATGCATGTGGGGATTAAACAGTCGAACTTTGTATGATATTATTGAAAAAATCCAAAACCTCATGGTCATCGTCCTTTGAATAAACGTTTTGCTATTTATATTGCTTGGCCCTTATTTCCGGTGTTATCCCAATTTTTCCTTGGCTCATGGGCATGCCGACAGTTCTGTCATCTTGTTTATCAACAAAGTGTGTTAATTTTGTCTCCCGTCCTTCAATTCTCTGTCTTTCGTTTTTACCATTTCATAACTGTTTCGTGATTGAAACCATACGATCATCGCTTCATTTCCATTTCGTGTACTGTGTCGATGGGAATTACTGTTGAAGATGATGAACTGTTGAAATTTGCAGAAAGATAATGCATGTATTGTCATGCGTCATACATAGGACGTACATGGACAGGTCATGGTTGAGTACTTTTGTTAAGAATCAACGTAAAAGAAGCTTCTGAGAAAACCAGCTTTTACCATGTCCTATATGAATTGGCAATTGACTCATATGAGTAGTACGTTCGTGAAAGATGGGGATAGATGTAGCATGAATTGCGGCATGATTTCAACGTTGCTGTAATCCAAAGTTAATTGAGTGGTGGTAAAGGTCTTAGCTAGGTGTTACTGCTGTTTTTGCTGGTTGGTGTTATATGTGATATTTCTAAAAGTATATAAAATTCTTATTATTGTTGAAAATGTTAAGAATTTATGGGGAAAAAAGAGTTTTGATAATTTATATATTTTTTTGTTAGAGTGGTAGATATATCTTTCAAACGCGTGTTATTATCGATCAATAATTTGTGATAATTATGTGTTTATTATATATATCGGTATATATATTTTTTAAAATTAAAATAAAAAAATAAAACTATAAACTCGTGATGAGAATTTTTTTATGATTTTATAGACTTACTTTTGATTTAAGTGTTGATTTCAAACATTATTATTATTATTTTTGGCGAGAAACAGAATCATTATTGAAAAATAAAATAATTAAAATAATGACTTAAGGGTAAACAATGGTGAGAAAGATTTTAGGATTAGACATTGAAGCACTATTTATTTGTATATGAAACTATAAAGGGGGAGAAGAAACAAGAAGTGATCGTTGTTGGGGCTCACACGACATCACTCTTAGTTTTGATAATAAAACAAAAATTCGACATTTGTCTATCTACGAAAAAACTATTTTATGAACACGTCTCATCATGTCATCTACAATCTCCATTAATAAATAGGATGATTCTTCCACCTTCGTCGAGTAGCAATGAACACCGATAAATAGTGCTTTTCCTTTGGCTGCTGGCGGGTGGGAGACTTTTAACCAATGCTGAACGGTTTAGACGGCATATTAGCTCGGATAAACTTTGCGGGGTGTGTGATCTGGAGGATGAATAGGTTGACCATTTGTTAAGAACATGTCCCTCGGCCTTATTTGTTTGGTCTGGTCTGATTAGGACTGAGAAGCTTACGGATTTTTTTATCAAGGGAGCTTAAGGACTGGATCAGTGTTAACCTGTCCAAGGCCGGTTTTTATGCACGGGTCAACACTGTCTGGGACGTTCTTTTTGGTGATGTGTTGTGGTCGATTTGGTTTCATCGTAATAAGCGGATCTTTGATCCTGACTGGAGCGAGGTAGAACCAATTATGGAGAGAAGCAGGATACTACAAGGAGAAACGCAGATGGCTATTGAGTCGGCCATGGTTTTTGCAAGGCAATCGCATGCAGCAAATAAGGCTCGTTTCCTCCTCACAATTGGTGTAAGCTTAATACTGATGGTGCTCGGGACAGTGTGACGGGTTTCGCTTCGTGTGGTGGCGTTGTTCGATCTTGTATGGGTGATTGGTTAGTCTGATTCTCGAGATCCATCGGTATTTGTTCGGTCTTGGAAGCGAAACTTTGGGGTGTCCATAAGGGTTTGATCCGTGCTTGGAATTATGGTGACCGGAGAGTTATTTTGGAAGTTGACAGCTTGGAAACAGCTCGATTACTTAATCAAAAGCGAAGTGTAAGCGAAACTTTGGGGTGTCCATAAGGGTTTGATCCGTGCTTGGAATTATGGTGACCGGAGAGTTTTTTGGAAGTTGACAGCTTGGAAACAGCTCGATTACTTAATCAAAAGCGAAGTGTAGGTGTTTCTTTCACTCTCTATGATCGAGTTGTTTCCATGTTGGAGCGGGATTGGATCGTTCATATTTGCCACATTAGTAAAGATGCCAATCAGGTTGCAGACAAGTTGTCAAAGATGCTTGTCCCTGGCGTTATCGCAGCACAGACGTATCATGACCCTCCTCTTTACTCTGCCGTTCGTCCAGCTCGACTCCACGGGGTTGAAGTGATTGCAGACTGAAGTTTCTTATTTTGTTAGCTTCCTTTGCTCACCAAAAAAAAATTATAAAACGATAAATTATAAGGTAATTAACCTATAATTATATTTAGTTGAATGTAATTATAATTTTAAATAAATCGTAATATTAATTTTATTAATTTTTAAACCTTATTTTTATTATAATTAGATTAAGTAGTAACCTCAATTAGAAACCCTTATTTTAAAAAAGCTTTGATTTCCTATCGTTGTCGTCATCGCCGTTTCATCTTACTTCTTTGTTGAATCTTTGCCGTTGATCCCTCTCGATTTGGACACCGTTCATCGCCGTTCGCGAAACCAATCGTTAAGGTAAGGTAGATTAATTTTAGGGTAAACTATACGGGTGACCATTATACATTGTATCAATTTAGTCACTATTTAATTCAATTAAATAATTCACTCCATCTGGAAGGTGCACATGTCAATATATGATTGGAGGGTAAATTTAATTAATTTTTAATATTTTAATTAAATAATTTTCCTACCAATTAGGTAGTGACATTGTCACCACTTGTGTAAAGGGAAAACATATGAGAAATATAAGGGGCTAGGGGGATTCGAACTGGGGGCAAGCTCTTGCCACTAGTCAACTATTTAATTGGTTTAAATTGCACAGCACTTTATATGTTATGTTTGAATTATTTCACACATATATTAATTATTAAATAAATCTAATAAGTAAATTATATTCATATATATGTTAAATTATAGTTAATGTAAGACTTAAAAATAAAATGATTTTAATATTTTTTATTTAAATTTTTTTTATAATTATTTTTTAAAAAATAATATCTAAATTATATTAAAAATAAAATTAAAGAAAAAAATTATATAAAATAAAATTTTAATATTTTTATTTATACATATGAGTTTAATAAATATTTAAATAATAAAATAATTTAAATAATATATTGGTGGGAATTTTTTAAATAATATACATTAAAATTTTATATATTATTTTGTGATTTAAATATTTATTAAACTCACAATATATTTAAAATAAAAATATTATTTTTATTTTTATTTTATATAATTTTATTTTTAATATAATTTATATATGCATGTGTGAAATACTTAAAACACATATATAAGCATTGTGCAATTTTGTGCAATTTTGAACCAATTAAATAGTTTGACCTAGTGGCAAAGCTTGCCCAGGGACATTATAGTGTCCTTAGTTTGAATCCCCTTAGCCCCTTATATTTTCAAATGTTTTCCCTTTACCAGTGGTGACACGTGTCAACCACCTGATTGGTGAGAATTTATTTAATTAAAATATTAAAATTAATTAAATTCACCCTTCAATCATATAGTGACATGTGGCACTCCAGATTGGGGGTGAATTTATTTAATTTAATTAAAGGATGTGACCAAATTGATACAGTGTATAAATATTAATGACCGAATATATAATATGCCAATTTAACTTAACTGCCACATCATCACCTCTGTTAAACATTAACGGACAGTGGCTTAATGAACCCTTTAAATAATTGGATGGTTTGTTTAATAGTTTTCAAACATTGGTGATCAAAATGGTTTATGACCATAGTTAAGTGGTCACTCGTGTAGTTTTACCTTTAATTTTATTTTGTTTCAAACTTTTTTTTGTCCAAATCGTCACGACGGTGGTGGCTCACCGACTGTCGACACCATAACCGGTAGTGGTTGCCAGTGTGGGACTAATTCTCATCCTTTTTCCCCAATCCCATATTTCCTAAACCCTATCCTAACTCTAACCTTAATTTTTAATTTTTCAATTGTATAAATTTAAATTCCCTAAATGATTTACAAATTTCCCTTTTTAGAACCTCAAATAAATAATTGGACCTTAATTCTTACGTTGAAACCGATTTTTTAATCCAATTATGATTTCCAATTCAAGTCATAAAAGACTTACCGGTACGTTGGTCCGTGTGTATCGGTACTCGGGCATGACTGTATTGGTACGTATAGTGTACCTATACCATAATTATGCTATGTTTTTTTTAATTCCATTTAGTGTATCGATACACTCATGTAGGTATCGATATAGTATTTTGATTTGTATATTTCCTGTTTAGTATGCAGGTATGTTATTAACCATTTTATAATGTTGTTTTCATTTATGTTTGTGCATATAAAGATTTTTTCGAGATGGTTGATAATAAAGATACCAAAAATTCAAATTACAAAGTTGGACGGTGTTAATCAAGATGAATAATCAGAAAAAAGATGGATACAATAGTGGATCAGATTATGAAACTTATACCGAAGAAGAAACTGGTTATCCAATTGATGATGACAAACATATAGATGATGAGAATACAATTGAAAAATTCTTTGACGAATTATATGGATAAGATTGGAAAGGAATTAAAAGATTATGATGAGAATGGTGTAATTTGTTGAAGTGGAACAATTTAGATGACTACATTGAATTTTATCATACCTATGCAAAGGTGAAAGGTTTGGTTTTGAGTCGACCAGATAGTGAAAAGTCAAATAGTGGTCACATAATTGCAAAGAAAATGATGTATCGTAAAGAGAGATATAAAGAGGGCAGGTGGACTAACCTTCAAAATAGAAAACGTGTACAAAGACCGACATCAGAGTTAGGTGTGGAGAATTTATTAGATTCAAATTGGAATGACTTATCAATATTGGAAAGGAGTCTCGCCATTAGGAAAAGCACTGTAAAATGGTTGTTGAACGGCGGGGGGCGAGGCTAACTCTCTAATTGTTGATTCGTCATTGGTTTTTACTTCTCTTGGCGTGGAGTTGATGATTGGAGTGGCGTCAGCTGTTGGTTCTTTGTTGGAATAAATGTTGATTGATGTCTCAAGGTAGATTCTAGATCTGTTTGTCGCTCGTTTTGTTCTTGTTCTTGTTCTTTCATCGAAACGTATGGTTGTGGGTTTTACGAGCTCTTTCTTTGATCTCCAGATCAAGTTCTACGAATTCTCCCAGGTTTTGTTTGGTCATAAATCAAAACAAAAACAAATCAGTAACTTGTTAAGTCCCCGACAACAACACCAATTTGACAAGTGTCATTTAACTCGTCAGATAAATTCTTTTTCTCAAAAATAGATAAAAATAAGAATAATATAGAAAAGAAAAGGGTCGATCCGCAGGGACTTAGAAATTTTGATGTATTGCGTTGATTTTTATCCATGCAGCTATAACAAAAGTAAATGAAAAGGGTGTGGTTTTGATAGAGTAAAAAATTGAAGAGAAATAAAGAAAATAAACAATAAAAGTAAAGGTTCGAAAACAATTATGAGAAAATAGCCTCGAGCTTAGCATTGATTCAATTCCATTTGATCATCAAAATGGATTTTACTCTAGGATTCATGTCGATTACAGTTTACAAGGCCCAACCATTATAACTTGCTTTTCTCTTTGGTAACCGATCTTCCCAAGTTACTCTTTGAAATTCGATCCTTGAATGGAGTAATCACAACTATTTTCGTTAAAACAAATCATATTAAAATTTGAAAAAGCTTGACTTGAATTATGTTGATTCTTTGATAATCGAATCTGATCTCAGTTTCCCTTAATGGACCACCGCTAAGTATGTTCTCAAGAAGTTGAACTGACCACCAGTCGATTCTTCCTCCCCAACTTCAAATCATAACAACATCCAGACCAACGTCTACATTTTTATTTAAAAGCGTTTTGATTTTTAAAAGTAAGACTGATTGCCAAACCAATTTTCCAAAAAACTGATAATGTAACCCGACGGTATTAAGTGCTTTTTCAACTCTCACGTTTGGAATTAAATCATTTCTAGCTCTTGGTTAAGTAAGAAAATTAACTAAACAAGGTAGAAACCGTACTTAGCATGTTTTATGAAAACAATAAAAGGCATAAAGTAAAAAAATAAAATTAAAAAAAAGGAAACTTTGATTTAAACGAAAACAAAGTAACAAAATGGAATTCAAGATATACTCCAGATGTCTAAGCCTTACCCTAAAGAGAGTATTTATAGGCTCATAAATCCCTAAAGACATGTAAATTCAAAATGAAAATAATCCTAAAAATTAAAAGATAAACCAAATGTTTAAATTCAAACTTAAAAACTAAATTTCCTAAAAGATCTCCTCAGATCGTGATGACTGGGCTGCTTCCAGAATGTTACTCGTACTGAATGGATCTTCTAGAAACTGCCACGTCAGACCGTGTCGTGCCCATGTCCTCAACCGCGATTGGATAATAAAAAATATTTACGAACAACACCCTTTTTACTGTTGATTCAGGAAAGTAAACACTGCACAAAAATAAGCAAAACACAACCCAAATCAGTTGTAATAAATTCATAAGATGAGAAGGTTAACAAGTAAAAAGTGTCAATTTAGAACACTCATAAATTACTCAGGGCAAAACATAGATTGTGTTTATGGCATATCATGAGGAACATGCAGTCTTATACTGATCATAGGTTTCTCAATGGTTTTTTTAGATGTGCTGATAAATGTAAAACTAAACCTTATTTTGAAATAGCTTGAAAGGAATTAGTAGACAAAACACAAAGTTGGAGGAAGGAGATGAGTTCAAGAATTTTATGAAGATAAAGTGAAATGGGCAGAAGCAAATTTGCAAGGATATTTTTATGCATGTAAAAGTATATACACTTGATTTATAGTGATTATTATATTTATTTTATGCATTTAAAAATATATATTTTTGTATGCAACAATTATGACAACTCAACTGTGCAAGTCAATGAATAGAACATTGAAAACTTGGTTGGACAAAAAGATAATGTTATATTGATTTGTTGAAAATTATCATAAACAATTGCAATCTCTAAGATGTGAGGAAGGTTATCAAGACTACAAAACAAATGATGAACAACCCTGTTGTGACGGTGTGTTATCAATTTTAAAACGTAATACATCCCAAGTATATACGAGAAATGTTTTTGATACACTGTGCAAAGAAATTATATACATGGGTTATTATTTGGTTAAAAAAGATGGAAGTACAAAAATGAGTGCATG